TTTGTTTCTGTGTACAGGGTAGAACATTTAAGTGATCCACAAAGCCTTGATTGTGTAGTTGCGTCCGAGATCTCCGTGCTTCCCTTGAGACGTGAAGGTTTTCACAATCCAGTCAACTATCGGAAGAAAGAGGAAAGGCGAGTGTAAGCAGCCTTGTCTGACACTGGTCTTCACTTACAATGAATCTGTGAGTTATCCTTCATGCACCACATTGTAGTGTCGTCCGTCGCAAGAATTTCGTATGATGGTGACGATCTTGTCAAGCACACCATAGTGTTGAAGAGGGTTGCATAACGGTTTACTATCGGCGCTGTCAAACTCTTTCTGATAGTCAATGAAGTTGTATAGTGACGATAAGTTCAATTCGATTGTTTGTTCAAGAATGATCCATGGGGTCACGATCTCAACAGTGCACAATCAATCCCTACGTGATCCAGCCTGTTGATCTTGATGCTGTGCGTCCAAGAATCTTTCATCCAGCTTAGCCTCACTGTGTTGAAGATGTATTTGTAAAACACATAAAAATCATACCTAATCATCATTTAAGATTATGTAAATCTTTATGAGTGTGGGAATAGAAAGTGTTCTTATCTCTTGAACCTAGGGATTTTATAATGTGCATTTCGAGCAAGAGATAATACATGAACTGTTCATTTGAGAGTTGTAAATAAATAGCTGCTCATCAGCTCCCAAAATCGACGTTATGACACACCATAGTGTCTGAATAAATTCACGTAGAGGGATATGAAGTGAGACCTGATAGTAAAATAAAGCTTTGATCAAAAACATTTCGGATTAATTCGGCGAAAGTGCGATGGTAGTTCACAGTGTTACGTCCAGATTTTGATCTTGTCCGTTATTGATGCACTGTTGATCGATCCAGTGGTAACTTTAAACCCTAAATTTCGGCCCAGGTGCCAAAATTTATCATTTATTTCGAGCAATCAGCTTTCGGTTTTTAGATTTCCAGAACGAAACGTCCCAAATACCATACAAGAAGTAAATTGAAAGCACAATATCCGTAGTATGTATGTCTATCCACTTCCAACATCTTTTCCTGATTTCTTCTTAAGCTGGAAGTTGGTTCGTACTCTCCCACAATAGGCTGTTGTTGGTGGTATCCGGTCAACGGATATTCAGTATCTTACGTAGACAATTGTTTATAAATAATTGTACCATTTTGATGATGGTTGTATCAGTTTTGTCCAAGTTTCAGCTTCCTACAGTAGAACTGTCTTGACGTTCGTGCTGAAGATTCTGGGTTTGATATTGGTTGCCAGTTGTTTCGAGTTCCATGTGTTCTTCAGTCGTGGGAATGCTCCGCTCGCTTTTCCAATCCATGCTTTCATATCTGCATCAGATCCCCCTTGTTTATCAATAACGCTCCCAGGTATGTTAAAAGTTTCCACATCTTCCAGAGCATCTCCATCAATTTTGCTTTGGCCGGTGCTCGCCGTGTTATATTTCGATAGAGATCCACTTCTTATGATGATGTTTCTTGCGGCCCAGAACCTCCTGACACGTCAAAATTAGTTCTTTGATCCTTTTCCAATTGTCCCTCATAATAATTTTTGCTTCTTTGAGTAAATCTTGTAACCTGTTGTTCAGAGCTATCTTGAATTCGTTGAGTTTTTCAGCATCTCGAAGTTAGACTGTATTTAACCTTTGTTATTTTGTTTGTTCAGTTTTACAGTACTTCTTTATATCAGCTTCTCTTTTTGTTCTCACGTTTTCGATTGACTTTCTGAATCTTTTATTGTTTAAATATGATCGATCTGGTTCCCCGTGATGTGACCGATGTAAGTTTGTGCATGCGTTTTTCTGGAAATATTATACCGCCTATAACCATTTTGTTGAATGCACAAAAAATCTTCAAATCTGTAACTATTCTCGTTCCTTTCTCCCAGTCCATGTCGTCCCATGATATCTACATACCCAGTGTTGTCCATTACGACTTCGACATTTGGGTCTCCCATCAGAATGGTCACATCCTTTCCTGAGCATTTCGTTATGATTGATTTCAACCTCTCGTAGAACTGATCCTTATCGTCGTCGTTGCTATCATTGGTGGGTGCATAACATTCATTGTGATTCCCGCCTTTATTTTGAAAGATGCTTCGACGATCCAGGGTCCACGAGTTACATATCCTATTAGTGCTTCACATGCTTCTTTGGATAGCATCGGAGCAACTCCCTGAGTGTGTGGAAATTTTCGTAATGAACAAAGTACATCACCGTCTCTCTCGAATTTATCGTTTTCTGTCTAGTTTAGGTTCGATGAATTTCACTTATTCCGAGCAACGTCAAGTCGTACTTCTTCATGTCCACAGCTATTTTACTGATCTTCCCGGTTTCCCACATTGTCCGAACATTTCATGTATCTATATCAATCGTTGCTCTGATTGTTAGAAGGGGCATCGGTCTCGTAACTTTCGAAGAATATCGGCTTTCAACATGAGGTATCATAATTCTTCCTTCAACTCACAGGGCAGAATTTTATCTGTTTATTCTGGTTAGTTTTTTTATCTAGCAAGGTTGTTTTCTACGGGACGGGGTTGCCGATCGCATGCCCAATCATCCTCCTTTACCCGTGCTTGGGACCAGCAGTAGCCCTAGAAGAGTCATAGGCCTAGTTAAACATATTACTGTCTAACCATAATGCCCCCAAATGCCCTGGTATGGCCGAGAGCGGGGTGGGTTCGCCTTCTCTCGAAATACTCTCACACGGCCACGCGTATACAGCATCTGCCAGGGAAGTCCTACTCATTGTCTTCTCTTGGCGGGGGTGTTGTTTACGAAAATAAGAGGACGAAAAGCGAATGTCCGGCGCCTTAACCGGATCACAAACCAATGGTACACATGGGCTCCAGTATCCTGCGGGAGCAAATGACGTATGAACCAATCGTTAGTCACCGGCTACCATGGGATTGCATCTCCTTACGATGCTCCACTGCCTTGTGGGTTAGACCTGGCATGGCTGTGTACAAGACTGCTGCTCCTTTTGTAGTACCTATCTGGACTCTGACCATGCCTTGGTCTGCGCCAATTTTACCCTACTTTTCAGTGGCCAACGAAGTGACCGCCATCAACGGATTGATATTAGCAAACTGGTTGCAACTTCTGTCAAGTAAGTATCGAACCGAGCTAGCCTCTAGGCTAGCTACCACTCCACCGAAAAGTATAGATGAGCATTGGTTGCAATTGCATAACGCCATGAAAATGGCGAGTACAGTCAGTTGTGGGTTTGCGAAACGTCCCGCTTATAAGCACTGGGTTTCTGCAGGTTTCTTACAACTTATTGAAGCCCGTCGGTCTACTCCGGGTGACCGTGAGTTTGACCATAAACGAAGAATGTTACGTAAGGAAATTGGGCAAAGCTTTCCTAAGGACCGAGGAGCTTGGTGGTCGAAGCGTGTTATGATCTGGAAGCAGCAGCTGCATCTGGTAACTACGGGAAGCTCTTCCAGCTCATCCCAGCCACTGGCAGCAAGTCTGGTGTGAGTGAAACAATCTGCGAGGATGATGGGATGCCAATCACTAACATCCATCGACGTCTTGGATGGGCAGAATTTTTCGAAGAGCAGTTCAACTGGCTTGCTGCTCCGGCAACATCGGTCAGACTGTCCTACCCTCCATGGCCGGTGACGACTGATCCACGTATAGCATGTATAGCGAAAGCCAGAGAAGCTTATGCCAATCTGGGCCATCTTTGGCGCCTTCGTGATGTCAGTCTGGTTGTAAAAGGTCGGATCTACAACGCGTCGGTGAGAGCAGTTCGGCTCTATGCTTGTGAAACACGGCCTCTCCGAGTTGAGGATGTTAGACGACTCTTTATGTTTGACCATCGTCTCCGAAGGACTGCTGACATCCGGTGGCAACATCATTTTAATAGCGCAGAGGTTCGGCATCGTGTGTTCGGACAGAGACGATAATTCAATTCGTATCACCATCTTGAAACATCGACTTCGGTGGTTTGGACATGTTCTACGAATGTCGTCTCAGAGAATTCCACGTCGTGCATTATTTGCCGACTCTGGGACTGGTTGGAAAAAGCGGAGAGGTGGTCAGTGTATGACATGGTGTCGTGGTATTAAAGAAAGCTGTAAAGGACTGGCTTGTGTTGGTCCTTCACGACTCCCTGGCTGAGGTCCTCAATGTTTTGTGTGGCGCATATATATTTGGCGCACTCTTGTACCAATATTTATGTGTTCAAATAAATAATATTAATCATAATGTAATTATTATAATCTAGTTGGATAATACAGGCATTTGTTCGTTTTGTATATAATTTACTAAACCAAAACCACAGTACACTTCCATGTACTAAATTGTTAGACACATTGAGTGTACACTCAATCTGAATTGGATAGACAGGTAATCAAACTCGCGATATAGCGGTCAAAACAGATTGCTTAAACTATTAAGGTTCCAAAAATACTACCCTGTAAATCATAATACATTTATAATATAGACTATTTAGTAGTAAAGTGTATTACTTAATGGTTGAAATTTACACTTGACAAGATGAGAGTCATTTGTTACTACAGTAGTTCAGACAGCGGTGTCATAAGGTATACCTGTTAATGACTCAATGTCAAATCTGAGATCAGTTGCCGAAAATTCGACCCAACCTTAAGGTGCGATTAGAATTATCAAGTAGCGTACGTCTCACAAAAGTTAATACGTACAGTGATCTTTTCTATATTTTATAACAAATATATTTTCTCTGGCGATTTCATCTCAATAAATAAACTGATAAGTAGTTAATTATTTAGTACATTATACAAAACTATATTTACTCTATGCGATGACGAATTGGTGGACAAAATATCAATTAACAAAATGAAAAATAGTTTATCTCGTTACCACCATCACTATCCTAAAAGACTATTTCATCCAGGTATTCATCAAGTCAATCACTAAGATTTAAAGTAGTTAAGAATTAGTGCTAAATTACTTCCAGACTTTCTTATAAGATCGAAACAATTGCATGTTTTGGTATATTACTCAGGAGTGGTACTAGTATTCATATGAATGACAATAACAATAATAATGGTAAATAACGAACATATTTAAATCATTTTCAAAAAGTTGACTTTATATTAACAAATATTTGATAAAAAGTTCATGCAAAACAAATTCCACAAATTATTAAGTTTATTAATATCGTCAGCTTAAAAGTATTTCTTACACTTACAAAACTGAACAACAGTCTGTTTTTAATATGAATTAAATGAAATTAGAGGTGGTAGTTTACAGTTAATTCCAGTTACTAAAACAAATAAGTACACATGTACAACCAATTAAGTTAACCACCATGTCATACAATTTTCAATGAATCGTAATTTGACTATATCAAATTTAATAAAAGACTCGATAAGTGGACACAATGAACAAAAACATAAAAAGAGAACAATAACACAAAGCAATAGAGATCAGCAACACAGAAAAAGTAGCAAAATTAAATAATAATGAATTTAGTTAGCGGAATTATCATCAAAGTATGCCAGCAAAACACAACATATTGTTTTCTTTTAACAATTGTTATTTGGAATACATCGTGGATGAAGATGGATATGGGGGGAGAGAAGTTATTCAACTGACACTGAACAGATAGATAAACAGAAATTAGTATTTACGTTTTCATACATATAAGTTATGCGATTTATAAAAAAATGTATTTTGTGGACAGAATTCTAATCAAGTAAAATTACACGAATCACATGAGAAATAAAATAAATCACGATATAAATGTTCAGTGGTTTAATTTGAAGATAAAAAGGTTTCGGACAAACATCCCAGCCGTTTAAGTTTATCTGTCCAGGCCATCTAGCAAGAACTTTACAATGAATGGAAAGCAAACGGAATTAAAGTTTTCAAAACTAGTTATTTTAGGAGATACAGCTGTCTGAATCGATGCCCCTTATGACAACCACAGCAACCATTTATTTAGGTACATGGAGTGCTCGTACAATGTGGGACACCGGGATAGCCCTTCAAATTGCTGCAGAAATGAGGAGATACAACCTAGAGGTGCTTGGGATCAGTGAAACACATTGGACGAAAGTTGGACAACAACGACTAGCTTCAAGGGAGCTTCAGTTATACTTCGGCCATAAAGAAGAAAATGCCCCACATACACAAGGAGTTGCATTGATGCTGTCCAAACAAGCACAAAATGCACTTATAGGATGGGAATCTCATGGACTAAGGATCATCAAAACCTCCTTAAAACAAAGAAAGAGGGCATTACAGTGAACGACATCCATTGCTATGCACCTACCAACGACTACAATGAAGACGTTGAAGATCAATTCTACGATAGGCTGCATTCAATCGTCGAGAACTGCCCAGCAAAGGACTTGACCATTCTGATGGGAGACCTAAACACCAAGGTTGGAATGAAGAACACCGGATATGAAGACATTATGGGACGACATGAAATGGGAGAAAGGAACGGAAATGGTGAGAAATTTGAAAACCTATGTGTCTTTAACAAACTGGTCATAGGCGGCACTATATTCCCACACAAACGCATACACAAAACTACATGAACTTCACCGGATCACACTACACAGAACCAAATCGACCACATCTGCATCAACAGAAAGTTCAGGAAGACGATGGAAGACGTCAGAACCAAGAGAGGAGCTGGTATAGCATCAGACCATCAATTGCTGATCGTCAAGATGAAATTGAAACTCAAGAGGCACTGGAAACGGGGCGGACAACATCACAAATGTTTAATACGGATTTCCTTTGGGATACTAACAAACTCAACAACTGGAACTCAAAACAACTGTCAACCAACACCAAGGTCAGGACTTTCAATACAAATGTGAAGGCAGTTCTACTGTATGAGGCGGAGACCCGGAGGAAAGCAACCAACCACGCCACAAGTCAAGCACTCACGTGGAATCCTCAAGGCAAAAGGAGAAGAGGAAGATAAGAGGACATTTTACGCCGGGAAATGGAGATAGACATAAAAAGAATGAACAAGAATTGGATGGAACTAGAAAAGAAGGCCCAGGACAGAGTGGGATGGAGAATGCTGGTCGTCGGTCTATGCTCTATTGGGAGTAACAGGCGTAAGTAAGTAAGTATGCAGTCTGAATACAAACTGGTAATAGTTAATATACGACAAATGAGTGACCGTCCAGTATGCTACATTGTAAATCATTATGTAATTTGCTCGACCAAAGCCATAATCTTTAACTCCTGTGGATGTTACAACGAAACAGATGTAATTGGGATTCCGTAAAAAATCTTACTAGTTTAACTATCGGTTTGATTAACCTTAACCGTACCCAGTAGTTTTGTCAAGTAGATTAAAGTTTCATAAAAATGGGGAGCTACATGGCAAGTTAACAGGTAGAAATGCTTGAGAACTCTAGTAGTGTAATAAAATTTGACATGAAGTAACGTTATTTTATTACTGGCCTACTTAACCGAGGAGTAACACCTGATAATTACAGTGAAGTTAATAACTGGTTAACAATTTTAAATATCTGAACGAGTAGAGTATGCTTATTTCCAATGTTTCCTCGAGTTGTTTCTGATAGGATATGAATTAACTCACTTCTGCACTAAACAACAATAACCATATAAATACGCCCTTAGAAGCCTTTAGTTGAAACTAAATTTCCTCAATAATGAAGCAAAAAGATATGGATACGAATGTCCGAAATAGTATGTCATGAAGTAGAATCACTTATTCTTCTCTTAAACGACTTTACTTTAAAAAATGTAATATAAGAGGTGAATTTAAATAAAAACAATTATTCATAATGTGTTAAATATAACTGTTAATACAAACGTAAGACAACTTAATTACTAGATTCTAGGCCTACATTATAAATGGTCAAACCTTAGTTTCTCACTACAAAGTAGCATAGATTATTGGCTAATAGGTGTTTATCTTCATAGCTGTGTTATGGTCACTTAATTTTGTATTCCTTTAAGCCAACTTCGTGACTTATAAGTTATTCGCATGTCGAATTCGCCTAACTATCAGTCACCAATTTATCCCAAAGATATCAATGATTTTTTGAAGATTCGACCTATATACGACGAACTTGGTTATGTTCACTAACATCAGATGAGCTGTAAATAGTTTGACCACTTAAAAGCCTTCATGTACGCTACAGAAAACAGAATGGCTATTCTATTCAACGTAATGATGATGAGAACAGTTAACTTTGTATAAGACATTTGAATAACTAATCATCATTAGTTTGACGTCATGCATACTGTAATAAATTTATCAGCGTGTTAAAAAGTTCAGTTTTTATTGATGCTTTGCTGTTTCAAGAGAAACCCATAACTTTCATTAGGATGAGTTGCCTATATTTCAGGAGTACTTTACTACGTTGAGAGAGAAGTTTAATAGAACTTTAGTAAGAATTTTGAACAACTATATGTTAGTTGTGGAAACGTAAATGATAAACAGCTTTCTTAAGTTGCTTCAGGATAAGCGAATAATAATAATAAGTGACATTTTAAGTTACATAAAATATAATGCCTTTCATGATAAACTATAAAATCCACAGCAAAGTGCTTAATTCAAAGAGACAAAGAAAAACGTAGTCAACAGAATTAAATAATTGTCCTAGTTTTTTTTTTTTAAAAAAACTGACTACTTTTATCTAGATTCACCAGAACAGAGACTTAGCAGTGTGTATGACTCAGATATGGAGTTGTGAATTTAAGCACTTTTCCATGTACTTTCATCTGGATAACTATGTGATATCAGAAGTCTGTTAAAGAAAGAGTTGTGAATTAAAAATGATAACAAGAACCGGCAATTAGTTACAAAGCTACATTGCATCATAATGTGTAAGAATAATTTATTGAACCACAACTTATTTGGATAGCATGCTAAAGAAGATGGCGTTTGTTTTAAAAATTAATAAAGTACCCTGAATTATCGGCCTGAGGATATACATTCTCATTTACGGGAAGAATGAGTTTTTTTTAAATGTACCGAACAGTTCACAATGAAAATGGTAAATTCTTACGTGCAAGAGACTTCTGATATACTGTTATCATCGTCTCTATCATCATCCTCTCGATGAGTATTTCTTTGTTCCTCTTGTCCTGGCTCTTCTCGTTCACTTAATGTTTCATTTACTGTTGACTGTGAATTGATTGAATGAACTTCAATAGGGAAAAAATCAATTAACCATGGAGTAGTTACAACGTCGGAATCAGAAAAAGTGGTGCTAATTGGTATTCTTCGTGTACGAATATGTCTTATATGTCGACTATGACAAGACTGTATTCGACGTGAACGATTACGTCTATATTGTGTATTCTTCTCTACTGAAGTAGCATTAGGCTCATCATCATCAGAACTCAAATCACTATTGAATATGATAGCAGCAACTGATGGTTGAAAAGAGGTTTCGTCATCAGTTAAACTTCCTGTTTTTGTTCGCTTTTGCTTAGGTGCTTGAGGACAACCTAACTGACAAGACAAATCAATGGATTCATTCCCAGTACGTTTTTGACTATCAGTTTGACCAACTCCTTCAATGCTTTCATTCACTAAATTCACGTTATTCAGAACAGATTCACTGTGCAATGTGTCGTCAAGACTTCCAGCATGATGATTGGCATTAGTATGGGTTTCGTTTCCAGAAGGTTGCAGTGTAGAATAAGAATCTCTTTCGAAATTGATGTTGTCATAGTTATTATTATGATCATCATCGTCATCATCACTGGATTCATTCTCTTCTTCGTTATTCCGCTCATCAGTACAATCGCGATTTCTCGATCTTCTAGCTCTATTAGAATCAAAATCAAGACCACGAAAATTATAACCCATATTTAACAACATTATTTCCAGAGGATCAGCGTTAGAACGTTGTTGATTCCGTTCAGCTGCTCCAACTTGATCTCTAACAACTCGTGATTGATCAGGGTCTTCCTGGAAATAAAAAGTCACATTGAATATTCCTCTTAACAAAAATAAATAAATAGATACAAGAAATTCTTTTTCAGATGAATTAGACGAAAAATCTGTTTTACTATGGTCAAATTCATCTCAACTCTCACCAATCAGAAAGTCGCATCAAGGGAAACAATTTACCTTTACATAAGCGTGATTACGGTTGATAATAAACTATGTAATTCGAAAACGAAGCTATTCAAAAATGTTGGCATGGTGATTACCTAAGTATAACGACTAATATTAGATTATCATTGACATACTACTCAATTTTTGGTGATAATGATTCACAATGCTATCCAAGATCATAGTATATATAGTTTAGAGTAAAGGCTGTTAGACCCCAAACATAATTGACTTGACGAGCTACAGTGAAAGGTCAGTGTTTATCATGTGACCTTTAATTTGATCTTTTACTAAAGAACTTTTACCTAATAATTAAATTAGTTTTAATTTCCTGATACACATCACATTAGTCAGTGGTTCTGTATTTCGGAATACGTTTCGTTGAGACTCGAAGACGGCCTAAGTTACAGCAGTTTATTTTTATCAAATCAATCGTCTCATTATAAAAAATGAGTGTATCTACAAATTTCCCTTTAACTTTTATTTAAATGGTGTTAACTAAGAATACAAGATTGTAACGAAAAATGTCGATTATTTCAATGTAGTAAGTTATGAAGGTGAAATCAACACCATCAAATAGGTTATGCATATCATCATCTGACTAAATAAAAAAATATGTTAGCCCACTGACTAATTGTCTCTCCAATCAACTAATACATATCACAAAAACATAACACATAATCTTCAATGATATGATGAAATTTGAATAGGTTGTTTCAATAAAGAGGAAGACAAAATAAACGTCTTTAAAGGTATAATATGAATCATCTACTAAAATGAGGCTAGTCAATTATATAACTCCGTAGCACTACTGATCTTTTATCAGGATTAAAATTTATCATGAATTAGAGATCGGAAATGAAACTAAAATACAGTGCAAGTTAAACTACTTCAAAATAAAACAAGTTAATGCAGACTGAATCATTGCATTTGATGTAGTTTAATGTGAGAGGGAACGCTGTGCACGAAATGTCTAGAATATTCAAAGTGGAAAGACATGAATCAACAAGGAAAATTACATTAAAATCTGTCTTGAATCAGATAAACACCAAATTTGAGCAAACATGGACCTATAATTTTCATATTAAAATTCCAAGAAAATTAACTATATAAAACCAATGTTTTAAGAGCAAAGATAATCAGTTTTTAAAGGAGTTCATAAAACTACTAAGTGCATAATATTTTTAAAAGTCGACAACGAAAGAATATTATTTTCTATTAAAAAAGAGTACATTTCTAGACATTTCTGGCAAACCGATTTAGTTAATTAATGCGACAATAATAGAAAGGAATGATCACCTATAACTGTTCGAATGAGCTATTTCATTTCTTTAAACAAAAATGAAGCTGTTTTTTTTCTAATACGATTAGTAAAACCTTCAATATAAAAGTGGATTGTAGAGGAATAAATCCGAGAAGCCATAGCAAATTCCATTACTTCCTGTCCAAATTGTAATATGTATAGATTAGATTTAACGTAATATCCCACTCAGTTAATCAAATCCAACGTGAATAAATAAGAGAGGGTGTCCACTGAAATTTATTAATAAATACACACGTATTATTTAAACAGTAAAATACGTCTTCTCAAACTACATTTTTCCCATAAATACTGTTGACACATAAACATTTACGGATAAATCACACAATATAGAGATTTTAGAAAAACGTAGTGATAACTGTGTTGAGTACTGGTGACTAACTTCTATCAACAACTTTAACCGAATAACTGGAAATATTTTGCGTACATATCACACTAAGTAGATTGATTATGGCCATCAATGGACTGGTGATATGCCCTAGCCAAGTAAGTGTTAATTTTCTTCTGCAACTCTTCTAGTTAATGTAGCAATAACAACGTAATTTGATATTCGAGATGAGTAATACATAGTCCAACTACCACAGTTCATGTAAGTCGATAAGTTTGATTCTACTCAAACCTATATTGTCCACTTTAAATAATTTCAAATTAATGTCACCAAAAAACAACGATGACTTGAAGGTTTCCATAATTTAACATCTGTCCTTTCGATAATTATTCAAAAAGTAGCCAAAAAAGAACTCTCGATTTAAATAGCCAAATGAAGTTTGAATGAAATGTATGCCCAATGAAGGTAAATTACTTCCTTCAATGTTAGCGATAGCCATAATTGTGAATGGACTGGGATTCTTACTACCCAAGAGCCCTAACAGACGAAGGTAGTTTCTTAGGGGTGTGACTCTTCGAGCCTTTAGATAAAAAGTATAATCCAAAAGGAAGTGGAACAGAGTTAAGAGATGTAACTCTATGTTAGTCAATGACCAAAATAGGTCCACACGTTATTTATCCTATTAGGATCCTTAATCTCATTTGCACAATTGGTTGAAAATCAGGGATTTCCAACTCCCCTAGGTCAATTCTCCGGATTCACTAGCACGGTTTAAGTGCGCGACATTCCCCTTTCAATACCTCACTTTCGCAAATAACAAGAGCACTGCGAGGACACAGAGGGTCGAACTTCCCTAACAGAGGTTAGAAATCCATAGTTATATGAGAGCATTTCGAGAGTGGAAATGGTCTCTCCTACCCTCAACTTGATCAGATAATCTGGGAATAAAGAGACGAAGGAAAAAGTGCTATTAATAAAAACTTTTAGTTTTATAAATACCATACTATAGAAGTGACAGGAAATAAACCACTCTTATGAAATCCGATGAAATATAAAATTATTGACAAACGCGATCAATTTTTGATAACTTATTTCACCGTAGAAACTGGACATGGTATCGATAAAGTTTTTCTTAAACTTTGATGACAAAAAATATTAAAATGAACAAGACCGATGTAGAATATGACACAGAAATGTATCAAATCAATATCACTATAATATTAGTTACATGAAATTAAACAAAATTACACAAATGTTTCGAATTTTACTGCAAAATCTAACAAAAAGGATATTATCGAACACCACTGGAACAGATTACATCCCATGGGTCTTTATCTACCACATTTTACAAAACGTTAGAAATCCCAATCAGAATATCTACGTGAAGTATGGTCACACATAGGTACCTTTCACGCTAAGCCTACCGAAGTTGACACTAGACACTGTTTGTAACCTCGTAGACTGATCTGTGTTTTAAATAGTTTTTAATATTGATCTTCTTTAGTGGTTGTACCACGTATAAGCGGTACTAAGAAGCAACAACTGTCAAATAAATGAAGCTTTTTTAAAGAATATTCAATCCCAAAATTCATACTTAAAAACTGTACAACAAAGTGCTTAGCTTTTTGTCGTTTATTCTACTCTTGATGGACGACGTAAAAGGACATAGTTTAAGTTACTTGTATTTCTCAAAAATTATAAGTATACACTTAGTAATTATCCCATTACAACGACAACAACATGAAAAGTGGATTATCGGTGGAACTAATATTCATAGAACATTCCATGATGATAAATATGCCTCTCCAGGCAGGAAAGCTTTTATAACAATAATATACTATAATTGATCAATAATATTCTTACTTCACAATTCGGTGACCATAGTCTTACAACAGAGTCAATTCCGGAACTTGCCAACAAACAAATAGACGGATGAGGTTGAACACAGTTCACAGTAGAACTGTCAGCTTTCAATATACGCATTATATTAGTTGTATTACGATCCCATATAAAAAATGCACCACAATCAGACCCACCGACAATATATTGCCCATAGCTAAAATAACAAAGTAATTTAAGTTGGTGATCAATGCACTTTTCGAAACTAAATAACTGCTGTTACATATAACAGCCAAATAACGAACATAACTAGAATAGTATAACGTTAACATTGTAGTGAAGGAGAACACAGGTGAGGACAACAGAATTATATTTAATTACAATTGATTGATCACTGGGTGGTGATCAATGTCTTGCTTGTCTAGTCCTTATTAGTGCAGATCGAGTGCTATCGATCATGTTGCAATGTGGTCACGAGTGCCAAGTAGCACGAAACCCGGGTCCAGGGTTTCCTGTTGACTACCTCCAACCACCATCTAAATCTCAATACATAGTGCCCGCAGTGTCGAGTCACCTAGACTGGTGGCCACATTGCAACATGATCGATAGCACTCGATCTGCACTAATAAGGACTAGACAAGCAAGACATTGATCACCACCCAGTGATCAATCAATTGTAATTACATCTCAGTCCTACAGGAGGTTAGTCACGGCTCGGATAGCTCAGTGGTAACGTCTCTGACTGTGAAGCTGGGTGACACGAGATCGAATCCGCCAGGGAGCACCAGTTCCCTCAAGATTACAGGTACACCTTGCTGACGAGTGCCAAGTAGCACGAAACCCGGGTCCAGGGTTTCCTGTTGACTACCTCCAACCACCATCTAAATCTCAACAGAATTATATTTAACACAACATTACAGAGTTAGTTGGTAAAATAGAAAAACCATACTATAATACTTAATTTCGAAATGTTTAATAATTGTCCCGGACTTCATTGTTCTTGCATTTCTATTCCCGTTCTTTCCTTCTTGATCTTCCCAATCTTCTGTTGCCAGACATTACATTTCTGACTCGCATTATATACTACTCATGTCAATATAAGTAGCACGCACCACAACATCGACAGTGACACTGAGTAATGTACGGTAGAATACTTGGAGTATCAGGTTTCATGCTAGCGCACATATACCTTGCTGGTGAATTAGAGTCTAGTTGAGGATTCCCAATGATTTTTCCCTGAATACTAAACACTAAACGTTGATATTATGTTTCATCTTTAGAATTTTATGTTTAATAATAGTTTCAGCAGCTTTCTATTTCCAAGACAAGTTTCGAGGGAGTAAGTTTACCTAAATCTAACGAATTATTAAGACACTCAGAGTAGATGAGATTTTATCTACACAATTATTTTAGAGACTTAGCATCAATCATTTCAACAACTACAACGTAGGACGAGGCACAAGTAGCCACACCTCATTAACACAACAAGATGAACAGCAATTCATGGAAGCAGTTACTTCAATGATAGTAATGCATTAAAACAAAGATTGCATATGATAATATAATCCGGAGGAAAAAAGTAGTTCGTGAAAAAAAAGGTATAAAAAAAATTTAATCCCACGGTTTAAGGAAAGACAAAGAGTGTATATCAGTCAGTCAGTCAGCTACAACGTAGGACCAGGCACTTATGTGCATCGATCCAGGTTGCCATACCGCATCAGCACAACAAGATGAACACCGGATTCATAGCATTGGTTAGGTAAAAGGTGGTAATATATAAGAGAAAGATTGCATATAGAGATATAGTACAAGAAGAAAGAATTGGTTCGTAGAAAGAAAGATATGAAGCGCTTTTAATCTCTTAGTTTAAGGGAAGACAGGGAGTGTATACACCGACGCCATTGTGATCAATTCTGAGCCATGTCACCAAAAGTCTCCAACCATTGGTTACGATAGTCACGGGGACCCCAACCAAGTAGTCTGCAACTACCAACATGGCTCAGACTAGAAGTTAGTGACTTCAAGCACTGATGCCACGTTTTGGTTCGACCGCCCCTAACTTTCTTCCAACCATTTCCAATACCGGATAGCATTGCACGTCGTGGTAATCGGTGTTCAGGCATACGTAACACGTGGCCCAACCATCTCAGTCGATGAAGATTCATAACCTCATCAACTGATTTACCATCATTTCCTAATACCCTGAGTCTAACCTCACTATTACTTACCCGGTGATCCCAGCAGACGCCAGCAATATTTCTAAGGCATCTGTGGCCAAATACTAGTAGCTTACGAGTGACTTCTACTCTTAATGGCCATGTTTCGCTGCCGTAAATTAAAACAGAACGAACTGCCGCGCAGTATACTCGTCCTTTTATTGATAGACGGATATCTCGCCTTCGCCACAGGTGACGTAAGTTGGCAAAAGCCAAACGAGCTTTTCGAATCCGTGCTGAGATTTCGTCCGATACCAACCCATTAGGGCTGATCAGACTTCCAAGATAAGTGAAGTTGTCAACGCGTTCGACTACTTCACTCCCTATCCTTAGTTCAGGTGTTAACGCAGACCAGTCCTGAAGCAACAACTTGCATTTAGAGGGAGAGAAGCGCAAACATCCTGGCATTGTTGCTTAGTGCTATCAAAAGACTTTGCATTTTATCAGCGTCCTCACCGAACAGGACTATGTCATCTAAATCGATAAGTGGACCTCCTGGATGGAGATCAATACCCGAGAACTCAGTCGACGAGAAAGTTATTTCCATCAGTAGATCTATGATGAAGTTAAACAAAAATGGGGAAAGTGGACATCCTTGACGGACACCACTTGAGTTTGCAAAAGTAGATGACAGTTCGCCATAAGCTCTCACTTGACTGGTAGTGTTCGAGTAAAGAGCCTTCACAAGGTTTATGTACTTCTGAGGTACGCCTACCTATACATATACCTACGTCATTGTGATCGATTCTGAGACATGTTATCCAGAGTCTCCAATCACTAGTTACGTTAGTCGCGCGGACTCCAACCAAGTAGTCTGTATCTACCAATATGACTCAAACTAGAAGTTAGTGACTCTATGGGCTGATGCAATGTTTTGGTTTGGTAGCCCCTAATTTTCCATCTGTCTCCAACCCTAGTCAGCATTTCGCGTCGTGGTAGTCGGTGGTTGGGCATGTGTAATACGTGGTCCAACCATCTCAGTCGATGAAGATTCACAACCTCATCAACTGATTTACAATCACTCACTATTACTTACCCGGTGATCGCAGTAGATGCAGGCAATATTTATAAGGCAACTGTGGTCAAATACTAGTAACTTACTAGTATCTTCTACTCTTACGCAGGCCAGTCCTGGGGCAACAACTTCTATTTAAAGAGAGAGAAACGCATCCCAAACATCCTAGCATTGTTGTTTAGTGCTGTCAAAAGACTGCATTTTATCAGCGTCTTCATTTTTTATATTACTCTCTTACGGTTATAACCCAGCTATTCCTATTGCTTAGTATTCTTAGACACCAAATCACTCGACAAGTCCCCAAATCAGAACACGGTTGAACAAGAAAGAGATTATATTCCAAATAAAAAGTTTAGATGGAAGCAAGAAGCACAATAGAGAAAACGTCAGTATAATTATAGTTTTTACATGAGAAGATTCTAGAGTATTCTCCAAGTATCGACTAGCGCTTTAATCCAGTCTATGTCCCGCTAACATAACCAAACAGAACTATGTCATCTGCGTATTCCAAGTCGATAAGTGGACCTCTTAAAAGGAGATCAATGCCCGAGAATTCAGTCGACGAGAACATTATTTCCATCAGTAGGTCTATGATGAAGTTGGACAAAAATGGAGATAGTGGACAGTCTTGATGGATACCACTTGAGATTGCAAAATCAGATGACAGTTCGTCATAAGCTCTCACTCGACTGGTAGTGTTCGAGTAAAGAGCCTTCACAAGGTTTATGTACTTCTGAGGTGCGCCTTTCAATTACAGACATTGCCACAGAACCTCTCGGTCAACAGAGTCAAATGCTGCTTTTAAGTCAAGGAAGACCATCATTGTCGGATGCCGATAAGCATGCCTGTGGTCGATGCAGCCACGACCAGGTCTGAAGCCAGCCTTATTTTTTCGTGTTTGCAGTTCACGTGTCTTCAGCGTCGGATACTTAATGAGACTAGTATTTTAGGTGTTAATAATTTAGTTTGAACGTTAACGAAGAACCAATGAAAAGTAGGTAAAATTAGAAAAGCTGAATCCGACCTGAGCTAAGTACCAACACATTCGTTGTCGATTTTCTGGGTTATGTTTGTGGATATCGAGAATTCTATTAGCACAACAGTCAGTTTATGATAAAAATGTTGGTGTGAAAAATAACAGATAACTATTACGTTCCCTTTATCCATACATTCAGGGTTCCACAAAGTGATCTATGATGATTACTAACGGACACATTGTTATCCCAACACACATCAAATTCATTTAAAAATAAAAAAATACACAACTGTAAACAAATATTTCAAAAACATGCTACTGCCTTTAAAATTAACCATCGTCAGGTAACTACTTTTCAAGACAAATCAAGAAGACTGTCACGTCAACTTGTTCATAAAATAAAACCGTCGACATATCATTATTATGCACCAGTGAATTACCTTCCAAAGAAATTTGCTTCTTTAATATCTGTTATTGAATTGCAATGACCAATATAAGATGCTGAAAAGTCGATGGCGTTTTTTCGCCTTTCTCTTTCATCCTCTTCTACCCACATTCGATTACATGAGCAGTTTAAACAAGCACATAGTCTTGGATTTATTTGATTGTCAAGACTGGAACGATTCCAAGATTCTGAAGATATTTGTTCACATACTAGGAAGAAGAAAATTAGACAAATTTAACTCTCATTTCAAAGAAAATTCTTATCCTGTTAGATATAAAGGATGTTATTAGATATGTAAAATAAAAATCACTAGGTTCTGTAGTTGACAATGGTTAATGGCTGAATTTTGACCTGTGAGTCACGGGTTTAATGAGATTTACAGAGATAATTATTACATTTAACACACACGTACAGTAAACACGGTCAGTAGAGTAATATATAGACGCCAACATAATCATTGAGCAATAACCCAATTTGATTTTAACTATTTATTCGAAGCACAAATTTTGGTGCAAAATTGCACGAAAAAATGAGCCACACGAATGAAGTGTTAGTATTGTGAAGAGTTAAAAGAGAGAAGGGTAATAAAGTCAATTAATAAATCAACTACAATAGCATTTATTGATAAAGTTCAGTTAAAAAACGTTCAACAAGTTCCCTTAATTAACTCGTTTTTATGAAGAGCATAACTGAAAATTACAGCTGAATTGGTACTGGCTTATTTTCTGAGCCGAACCGAATGACGTCATAAACCACTGAATTGTAAAATCTCTAGGACCACAGCAAAAGTAACGGATTGACAGATACAAAACATACACCGCTTTCTTTCAGACTATATTACCATGTTATAAAATGCTGTTGTAAAAATGAGATAGATCCTTCATTTTATTGTTTTTTGTAAATGATGAATTGCATTACAATATCTGCTACTCCTACATTTACGTGTAATAAACATTATTAATCATATTCTATTCCGAAATATATTCTGATGAACTATAAGACCGCTTAGTCAGCATTTACCAACTCAATATTTTGGGAAGATATTTCAATTGATCAACGAGTGTAAGCAAGACAAAGTAATAATGAGTTTGTAGGTTTCACTACCAAGGTTTGACTTCATAATTTCAAATAAATCGAGCGTTGGGTAGATTGTTATTAATAAAAATAATATATTTGTAATATCCAGATGAGTAGAAAATTACTCATTGGGGTATTACAAAATTATTTTTATTAAAAGCAATAATGAATTTTAATTTGGTGGAACATAAATGGAATATAACAAAAATGGGTCTCTCTAATCAATTGATGTTATAGAAAAGATATCTAGCTTATACAATGTTGATATAGTTAGGAAGAATTGAATTAAATGAACTTAATTTCTTCTTACAGAACCTACTGAAAGTTTTAATGCACCCAAACATACTTTCGATTAAATAAAACGATTAATTGATGACTGTGATTAATACACACATAAAAAACAAGAACCAAAATAAGCCACGTTTCGCAGCCGTAAAGTAAACCAGAATAAACTGCTGCGCAGTATACTCGTCCCTTAATCGATTGACGGATGTCTTCCTTCGCCATAGGTGACGTAAATTGACAAAGGCTAAACGACTTTTCTGAATCCGTATAGAGATTTCGTCAGACACCAATCCATTAGGGCTGATCAGACTTCCTTATTCTTAGTTCAGGTGTTGATACAGTCCAGTTTTGAAGCAATAATTAGCATTTAGAGGAATAAAAACGCACCACAAACATCCTGGCATTGTTGTTTAGTGCTACCAACCAACGAATCGTTGAGCAGTAAACTCGCCCTTTGGTTAAAAGATGGATATCTCGCTTACGCCTGCTTCGGTTTGGGCACCCGGGCAGTATCACAGCCCTCACACATTTCGAATGAGATTTGTGTGGCGCATATGTATTTGGTGCCTTATTGTACCAATATCTATGTGTTAAAATAAATAAATAATTACGCCACAGGTGACGCAAGTTGGCGAAAGTCGATGAAGCTTTTCGAATCAGTGCAGAGATTTCGTCAGACCTCAGGACAAACGAAACACCCAAGATAAGTTAAGCAGTCGATGCGTTCAACTACTACACTCACCATCATTAGTTCAGCCCATGACGCAAGCCAATCCTAAAGTGACATTCTACATTTGCAGGGAGAGAACCGCATCCCAAACATGTTTAGATTGTTACTTAAGGTGGTTGGAGGATTGTATTTTGTCTGTGTCTTCACCAAACAGAACAATATCACTTGGGTGTTGTAAGTCAACAAGTGAATCTCCTCGCGATTAACGGAGTCGAGTGCTGCCTTACGGTCAAGGGATACACACCTACAGTTGGACGTCGAAAAGTATGTCTATGTTTCGGAATCTGCTGAATGGTGAATACTTGGTGTATACATTAAAGTCCAGATCTGAAACCAGACCAGTTTACTCGGGTTCGCTCCTCACGAGCTCTAGCTAGACGTCGATGTATCATTTTAGACACTATAAGCTAAACTGATTCCTCTGTGATTGTCGTATGAGGATTTTTGACGATTAACGATCGAGGTAATAAGGTAAACCATAAGGTTAGGGAGAAATACTGGATCTCAGCAGCATCTACCACACTGTCAGATGCTCGAAAACCCATCCCATCAGGCTCTGAACATGATGAAGGGCGAAGTTTTCTGAAGCACAGGCTGATAAGAAGCCTACGCAATGATCACGAACAGTGGTGGGCTGCGAAAACAAGAGGAGTGGGGAGTCCTGTAGCAACAACTTGCATTTAGAGGGGGAGAAATACATCCCAAACATCCTGGCATTGTTGTTTAGTGCCGCCAAAAGACTGCATTTTATCAGCGCCTTCACCAAACAGAATTATGTCATCTGCGTATTCCAAGTCGATAAGTGGACCTCTTAAAAGGAGATCAATGCCCGAGAATTCAGTCGACGAGAACATTATTTCCATCAGTAGGTCTATGATGAAGTTGGACAAAAATGGAGATAGTGGACAGTCTTGATGGATACCACTTGAGATTGCAAAATCAGATGACAGTTCGTCATAAGCTCTCACTCGACTGGTAGTGTTCGAGTAAAGAGCCTTCACAAGGTTTATGTACTTCTGAGGTGCGCCTTTCAATTACAGACATTGCCACAGAACCTCTCGGTCAACAGAGTCAAATGCTGCTTTTAAGTCAAGGAAGACCATCATTGTCGGATGCCGATAAGCATGTCTGTTCTAAAACCTAACGAATAGTGAATATGTGGTCGACGCAGCCACGACCAGGTCTGAAGCCAGCCTTATTTTCTCGTGTTTGTAGTTCATCAGTCTTTGTTAAGCATCCGATAATTATTGAGACTAGTACTTTCGATGATATATTAGTCGAATTAATCGCTCCATGATTATCACAGAATGATTTTGATCCTTTCTTATATATTGGGACAATCAGTGATTACTTACTTACTTACTTACTTACTTACTTACTTACTTACTTACGCCTGTTACTCCTCGTGAAGGAGCATAGGCCGCTCACCAGCATTCTCCATCCAACCCTGTCCTGGGCAATCCTTTCTAGCTGCGTCCAGTTGTTATTCATCGTTTTCATATCTGCTTCTATTATCCGACGCAATGTGTTCTTTGGCCTTCCTCTTGTTCGCTTCCCTTCAGGATTCCAAGTTAGCGCTTGCCTCGCGATGCAGTTTGACGATTTGCGTAATGTATGTCCTATCCATTTCCATCGTCTTTTCCTAATTTCTTCTTCAGCTGGAAGTTGGTTTGTTCTCTCCCACAGAAGGCTATTGCTGATGGTATCCGGCCAATGGATGTTGAGTATCTTGCGTAGACAACTATTTATAAATACTTGTACCTTCTTGATGGTTGTTGTTGTAGTTCTCCAAGTTTCAGCTCCATACAGTAGAACTGCCTTGACGTTGGTATTGAAGATTCTCACTTTGATATTGGTTGAAAGTTGTTTTGAGTTCCATATGTTCTTTATCTGTAGGAATGCTGTCCTTGCTATGCCAATCCTTGCCTTTACGTCTGCATCTGAACCTCCTTGTTCATCGATGATGCTTCCTAGGTATGTGAAGGACTCTACATTTTCCAGAGTTTCGCCATCAAGAGTGATTGGATTGTTGTTTTCCGCTTTGAATTTGACGACTTTGGTTTTCCCTTTGTGTATGCTGAGGCCTACTGATGCAGAGACTGCTGCTACACTGGCTGTCTTCATCTGCATCTGTTCGTGTGTACGTGATAGGAGGGCTAGGTCATCTGCGAAATCCAAATCGTCTAATTGATTTCGAGCTGTCCATTGAATTCCGTGTTTTCCTTCAGATGTCGAGGTCTTCATAATCCAGTCGACCACCAGAAGAAAGAGGAAGGGAGAGAGTAAACAGCCTTGTCTGACTCCGGTCCTTACTTGGAATGCATCTGTCCTCCATGCACGACTTTGCACTGTAGTCCGTCGTATGAGTTCCGGATAATGTTGACAATCTTCTCAGGAACTCCGTAGTGTCGAAGAAGTTTCCATAACGTCCTCCTATCCACACTGTCAAATGCCTTTTCATAATCAATGAAGTTGATGTATAGTGATGAGTTCCACTCAATTGATTGTTCGACGATGATCCGTAGTGTTGCAATTTGGTCTGTGCATGATCGATCCTTACGGAATCCAGATTGTTGATCTCGACCAGTGAAATGGGATTACGTCGAGTTCCCAGACTTTAGTCAAACTAATCTCTAAGACTGGACCACAATACATAAAGACCTCTGGAGCCAACTCAATGAGGAGCAAGCAAATGCATGTCCATATTAGAGCATGATCGGAGTCCAAGCAGATATTCCAGAAAAATTCTATCCATACATCATACACCAATGGTACGAGATTCTAGGGTTTTAGCTAAGGAGGCCTGTTGGCCGACTTGATACAGGGTGCATACGTTGAAGGCTCCAATGTGTAGTTTGGAGCGAGGTTTTTTAGTAGACCTGGGACAGTGTTTTACGCACTAGAATCGTTGGTCATGGTGACACTTGAGGAGGAAGTAAAAGAGGAAGATTAGAGTTGAAAGTCGAGGTAGGAGGAATAATAGGAATTGAAGAGAGAAATTGATCATGAATACAGTGATCTTGAGCACTGTTAGAAGCATGAGGGTAGTTATCACTTCCCAGTTGCCCACACCGTGGAAGGGCTATTCTGGAGGTACCTGAAGACGAAATTAGCTTAGAGGTGGTCTTAGTGAAATGAGAGTGTGACCACAGTGCCCAAGGGACAAATGCTTGAGGTCGGTCAGATACGATCTTTTTGTGGGCAATTTTCGTGTTAGCTCCGTAATTGTTGAGATCTTACCGCCGGAGAAGGAAATCCGTGGGATAAGACGAGGCGTGCATTTCTAGGGTCGACCTTTTCTAACCTCATCCCTCTTTGTGGGAAGGCAGCATCACTGTTATGCGGGTTTTCTAAGGGGAACACCTTACTGCCGTCACACCTCTGTACAGTCAGCAGTACGATTTCGCCCTCAGACCTTGGGTTTGTTGCTTTTAGTCTTACCGCTCCTTAACCGACCTGTCTGGCATGGTAGGACCTTGAGGAACGATTGTTCCAGCCAGTATGTCTCGACTGGTTTATTACGATAGGCATGCCCGATCGTCACCTCGAGTTAACAGCAGCGGTCAGAGTCTAAATAAGTGATAATTATGGTAGAATATGTTATGACAGATCAAATGCTGAGAATTTCGTAGCATTCTTAACTAGTTCACGGAATATTATTGCTTGTATTTTTATTGTATAATTATTAGGTAGTTGAATAATTATATTTCTGTATGTCTTGAATCGCAAGCCGCCGTTGAACCTATTGACTAGTGCTAAATGCTTTATTATTCATTAATTATTAATTAATTCTGTACCGTTCATTCTGTTCTCTGCCGCTTACAGAAGGATTGTATGTAAAGCATGTTTTTTTCTCATCGAGGTTGCGTTGCGGTCCGATAATTTGTACATGTAAACTAAATAGTGCTCGAAATGGCTTTACTGGGTGCTTGAAATGTAATGGTAGGAGCTTGTCTGCTGCTTTTTTATTACCAGACCCGAAATTGGGGATGAAAAAGTCATACACATCGGGAGACCAACATGAGTCAAGCTTATCCCGTCAATGCTCCAATTTACTCGAGCCAACCTAAGCGTCGTTCTGATCAAGTTAAGTGGTCAGTCAATAGATGGACTAGAATATCGGGACTCGAGAAGAATATGTTAGGATTTTGATTGGCGTGTTTTTATCCGATCTAACGACTAAGGAATTCCAGACCAGAAAGCGTCATAACACTGAGTTTTTCAGATTATCCAAAAATCTCTACCGACACTTTGTCCCTTTACTCAATAGCCCAGTGAGAGTTTGAAGGAGTTTTACGAAAAGGTTCAAGGGTTTTTACATGGGTTTAAAAAAAACACATATAATACCAACTAATTCCAGTGAGCAAGATTAAGGTCAATGACGAGAATACATGTTTATTCTCGCTGAAGAAAGTTCTATTTTTGAAATGTCTTTTAAAATAGTTGATTATAAGAAAAGACACGAAGATAAGTGTGCAAATTCGCCAAGTAGATGCCTCATATACTTCAGTGAATTCATATTTATCTTGTTCGAGTCAGTGTTTTTTTTAAATATAAACGAGTAAACTCGAATTTTCACTGGGTGAATTGACATACAAATACATTTAATAATCCTACTTATTTTTTCATTTGTTATTCATACTTCTTAAAAAAGTGAAAATCGACTTCAGTGAGTCAGTTTACTAAAACAAGAAAGGGAACATACTGTTATCGCATTTCATGAAAGATAAAGTTTCTGGTCTTGGTATTGTAGATCCTTCGGCATCATTGTCGTCATCATCATTATCATCATTGGTATCGTTGTTATCATTATTATTATGTACTGATTTTTTTCTTTCACTAACTTGCTTTCCTTTTCTTTTCGACTTGTTAGATTGTGATTCTAATTGTTTTTCTCTCGCCAACAATGTAGACTTTAAATGTTCGAATACTTTAACCAGGTTGTCTGATTTGCAAATATACTTGGACGGATTCGTATCAGTGGTATTGATTGTTGGTGCGCTAGCAGATGACGAGGGAGAAGAAGAAGCGATGATAGTAGGTGCAATAAGCGCTTTATCCGAAATCTTTTGATGCGTAATACTTTTGAAGAGATTGGGAAAGCTTTCCAGTGCTTGTTTGAGCTGAATACGAGCAGCATTTAACCAATCCAAACATAATAAACATCGAACTGAAAGTAATAGAGCTGTAATGTAAACGGAACTGCTTAACAATTGATGTTTATTAATGGTATCGTTATTTTGGATACTGACAGAATCATTGTTGCTTTGAGTAGTCAGTTGGATAGCATTTCGGCAATCCAATAACGCATTATAAATATCGCCATTCCTTTAATTAAAGTAAAAGAATACGTTCAAAGCTTACTCAAGAATATTCTTAAAATCTAACAGTTTGATCTTTTCCACGTATGAAAAATAAAGCTTTAGGTTAGTCATCAATAAATTCAGTTTTGGGTTTTAACTGTAAAAGTGCACTTTGATATACTAACAAGTATTATTCCATGTTTCTTTTAGCTAATCTAGGTAGCAGAAAACAACCGTGTATCCTGGAAATTTCAGGTTTTTTCCACAGATTCTTTGCAAAACCTGAGTTGAATGGGTGAGAATAAGCTAAACTGATTAATTGAGAAATTAACCTAATATCAAGTCAACAGAAGCCAACAGCCAATATAAGATGTGATCGTCCCATGCTACTAGTGATTCTTATACCAAAAGTGAGACGGTTATCTACGTATTCAGACCTATTGCCGATTAAACTACAGTGTTCTTAAAACTGACCACGTACAGCAAAACATATTCATATATGGCGCTTGTTTCATGTCAAAATTTTCAATACTACTTGTCTATAAACTATTCATTTATGGAAGCATTTACAACAAAATCAAAGTCGAATGAAACCCACTGTAATTTATACAAATGAAAAGGATGTGAAAAAGACAGTAGATAGAAAAACCTAATTACCATGATGACTAAGAAAGTATCACATATAATTACACTAAAATAAGACCAACAAATAATGCTTAATCAACCGTATAGTTTCAAAATGTATACAGCATATAACTTCATATCCCGTGATGGCAAATAGAGCTATTAAGATATGCTCAGTTGACACAATTGATAAGGAATTAGAGCACATTCATAATATGTTGATTGAATTGGGATATCTACAGGGTTTCCTGAGGAAACACTTGCGTGCAACAATGCTGCCAACCTCTGTCTATCGTATTCGACCCGATCTATGGCGATTCTCCAACTGAAGGATAAGTTACCTGGTTATGCCACTTCTATGTGTATCTACGAATTCAGCTGCTCCTGTGGAGAAAGCTATATTTGGCGCACTAACAGGCAACTGAACCAAAGAGTTAGTGGACACCTCCCTTCGTGGTTAGGAAAAGGTTACGTCAAAACAATACGCAGCTCGGTTCTATCACACTTGGTCGATAGCGGTCATATAGTGGACAGAAACAAGTCATTAAAAATTATTTATTGTATTCCCACTAGTTTTCCTTATGGTGTTCGATCTCGTCTCTTACACATAGCAGAAGCTATAGGAATTCGAGCCAACAAGCCAAGTCTTTGTGTTCAAAAGAAAGTTGTAACACCCTCCCTTGGTCTTAATAAATGAATTTATTTATTATTTTTTCAAACTTTCCCTTCGTTTATTATTTTTCTTCACACCCTCCTATCACTTTATTTTATTTTCTCTCAAATATACGTTTCATGGTCCAATTATCTGAACACTCCTTATTACGTCATCTTATAATTTTATAAATTTTATCTCACTGTCTATATTTTTCTAATCATTGACCTATTTTCGATTATGTAGCATTGATTCGAGCCTTTATTATTCATATCAAAACTAATGTACCTGTTACCACACTACCAATTTGTACTTTTCACTTATTATGTAATCGTTCTCAATGTTATCATTGACTCATAAACTACCTTGATTGGTTTAATAACTTCATATATGCATATAAATATTACTGTATATTAGAAGTTAAGCCTGATGAGGATCTAATAGAAAACAATATTGTTCGCCTATATATGTTGTTCTAAATTCCTGTACTATTACCATATATTAGTCATAATTCTTGATGGAAATCTTGTTACTTACATAATATTAAGCTTACTGAATGATACTAGACTAGAATATAATGAAGAGTTTGGATAAAACACAAGCTATTAGATAAACAACATAGACCCAACACAGTAGTAGGAAAACAAAAATGTCACAAAATGACTGACCAATTTCTTTTAATTAAAGCAGTAGCGCGACCTGTATACAGTTGAGGACAGAAAGGATACTGTTGAATAAGTTGATTATACTTATGAACTGCAACAGCGTACGCCTTGGCTTCAATTAATCGTGAAGCCAGTACGACTGCGTAATCAGAAGCCATAGAAGAATTACAACGGTAATCATAAGTTGAACCTATAAAAAGATGGTAGTAAAGTTTATTTAATAATTATTCACTTGCCATTTAACGTTAAATAGATAAAGTTAAAGTTTTTAAACAATATATGACGGATTACATCCAATTGGGAAGCCCTAAATAGAAAAAAATGTGCATCCTGTACTTTTAGCTTCTATTCAAAACATAAATGAGTACATTGCCAAAATGAAACTGATCAATATTGAATATCGACAACAGAGAACGAAAAAAACCATTACAGATAACGACGTAAGAGTTTAGAACAAGTGTAAACAGTAACATTTATATTACCCGAATAAGAATCATAATATCCCATATTTGAAGGACGAAACCAAGTAGGAATACGAAAAGAACGAAACCTATCCCTTGGTTGCGTTGCAGATAAACTATACAATAATCTAGTTGATTTAAACGATGATTGACATTGAAATGGTTCATTTTGTGAAGCTAAATGAAACAGATAAATATTATCACGTCCAACATTAGCTAATAGTTCTTCACCATCTGAACTGAAACTGACTGATGTTACACTGAAAGTTTGATTGTCTAAACCATCAGTTAATATTTTACCAGGTAGATGAGCTGAAATGACAGAAAATGATGTAGAAAGAGACTGAAAGAATTGGTGAGCAGTAGTTTATTATTCGTTTAAATAAAAACTGAGATATTAATTTATTGATAAAATTCAAAGATAAACTTTACATCAAAATTAAAAACGCAAGTGGTAATACTCAAAAACATCTACTAAATTTATGCTAACTCTATAAGCGCTCCGTATGAGGGCATGTAACATTCATTATGTCGAAAAAAAATTGAAATCACAATTTATATTAATGTAAATCCACGTAACTCATTTACCGAGTACCAATTTTGTATGCACACGACTTTGTGCTACATATTTTATGTAGAATGCATAGGTAAGACAAAGGTGCCTAAACCGGAGGTGAAGTGAGATTTGAAACCACAAATAGTGTCTGAAAGTCAGATGGTTTAATTACTTGAATAGCTTATACAGGGGTGTCATCACAAAGAAGCAGATCGAAAATGTTAATCTAAGATATTAAAATACGATGATATTCTACTATTAGCTCACCATATTGAGGAAAAACAGACTGGCTATTGTACAGCTGTTTCTTAGTTGTTTGACACTGTACTGTAATGCTACGGATCCGCTAGGGATAGCCTTCAGGACCTTTTTAACTCCCTGCAAGCATACTATAGAGCTGCAGAGTCAGGAGCCAATGGTCCACATTTTAATCTTCAGCCAATCAACAATGTGGCGTGAATATCAGGGATTTTTATCTTACTCTCGACATGGTTGAAAAACACGAGTTACAGCTTTGCTCTAATACACTGGGAATTCTTTTTGGAGTTAATCCTTAGTGATCCCGTGATGATCATTCAATAACGGGGTTGGCCAAGATTTTTCAGTATAAAGTTTTTATTCAAGACTCATATCGGCTGAAAAAACCATTTTAAGCCATAAAGCAACGAACAGTTACTTCGTCCTGGCATAATACTATTTTTTCATGAGGTGGAGAAGAAATTGAGGTGAAATCCTAGTTCTTTATCTACAAGAAATATTTACATAAATAAGGAAGAATTTTTAGTTTCAATACTTACATGGAACAAAATATTTAGCTGCACCATAGGGAAATGAAGGCAGCGAGTTTGATGGAATGTTTATAGGGGTTCTCCTTGATGCAGTTTGTCTAGAGAATATATGGAAATAGTTTTCAGATACAAGAATTTACAGAGAAGACTGTAAGTTAACTTGACAATGATCAAAGGAATTTAAATAGGGTGCAATGTGATAATTGTTGAGTCGGCTTCCAGAGAACTTCAACGGAACCTCCAGAGGCCCAAAAGGAGTCGAAGAGTTCTAGCCAATCAGAGTATGATGGAACAACCTAGAATTCCGACGTGGCGTGCTACTATTGGTCGGTAGCATAATATGTCGTTAAAGGATTGGCTGAAATGTGATGTTGATTTAACAGACGCCAACATCTATAAATACCCATGATTTTCTGTACAAAAATGAACCTTGGGATAAAGTATTTTCTCTCATACTTGCGTCTTCTCTCTGGTGTTCAAGTCGCTGTGTAGTACTAGTCTGCGGGTTACCAGAATAGCTTAGGAAAACGGATATAACGTTCGATCGACATGACTTATCAATAATAACTACAATGATATTCATTTTATAGGTGGTTTTAAATGGTATTTTAACGCTTACATTCAATCTCACCATCAAGCATGTCACCTGGTATTGTAACTCCATCATGAATGATGGATTAAGATATTAACTTTTGCAAAATAGGCAAACATTCGAATAAAACTCGGTGCTTAACTGAACTGATAGTTCTTTTTATCAATAAGTTATTGAATTACGTTAACATTAGATCTGAATGACCACGAAAGTCATCTAGAATGTACAGGATTCACTAAACTGTAATTAAAGTTATAAATTTCAATCGGAGATTTTATTAATGATGTAGACTGGTTGTAAACATAAAAATTACCACAACAAATAACTTTTACTACTGTACTATCTAAGACATTTGACTAAGATCAGCTCGCTATTTATAACTACGAAAATTCAACGATCCCCACAAATCCTACTATACTAACGATGATCCTGTACTGCCCAGGACAGGGTTGGATGGAGAGTGCTGCTGGGCGGTCTATGCCTCTCCACGAGGAGTAACAGGCGTAAGTAAGCAACTCACTAGTGACTAGCTACAGGATACAACTCCTCAAGTTCTAATAAAAACTCATGATCAGTAGAATTCAACTATGTCGCGTATGAAACAACCATATACCAGAAGATAAAGGTTGGGCAATATCGTAAACTGATCGAAGCTAGATATTAACACCGTTGGATGTCGGCTCAGTGGTTAATCGTTCGCATGCAAGATCGAAAGTCCTTGGTTCCACTCCTGAACGCCCGCTTGTCGATGTGCGCTGATGAAGAGTCCTACAATGGGACGAAGCGGCTGTTCAGCGCTTCCACGTTTACAATGGTGGTCTAACTAAGACCAAATCATGATTTCAAACTGTGAAGATTGCATAAACATCCGGTTAAAAAATAACCGTATACTAAAACTATGATACTAAGGTTCCTACAAACGCTATCTAACATTAGTTTTCTTAGAGTCATATGATAATAAATTATTAGCTATTTTATTTAAGCACAAGTTAGGTAGAATATAAAAGCTATGTGACGGACCATTGTAAAAACAAACAATACGTTTCTGCTATAATGTCAAAAGACAAGTAGTTCTGAAGGTCCACTTTCATGATTCCCAATGTTAGAACTGATGAATAATCAGTACAGTGATAGTTAATAATAGTAGTAATCAAACAGAAATAGGTAAGCCCCATGGTATAAAAAATCAATGAACCAGAATCCGATAACTGGCGACTATTAACCTCTGTTGATTCGTTTCTGAACGTTAATCATTGCTATTTTCCCGGCTTTCAAACACGTTGATACTATAGATTATGACTTGTCCGATAACGAAAGTTTGTTAGGCGATCACAACTACGTTAATACTAATTATTTGGTCGAACAGTTTCAATAGTTCATCTAAATAGACACAAAGAGTTAGTATTTTGACGGGCTACATTACTAAGATTTCACAGTCGAGATTTAAAGTGACTTGTGAAAAATAAACGGAACCATGAAACTTCAGAAAAATCACACAGAAACTGTTTAAGAATCCATAAAAACAGAGTAGTGCAATCTTTTTCTAGGGTAAAATTCCTACTATTCAGAACAAATAGGCAAAACAGATAGCAGAACTTAACAATGGGGAACGATACCGTTTTACTCTGAAGAAGTGGCTCAAATAAAGCTACGAAACGCCAGAAATACAATTTTTCAATTCCTTGGAATATAAAAAATATATATTTATTATTAGTTTTTCAACACGTTTAAACTGAGTGAACCAATGAATGCTGAGATGTTTACAATGGCTTATAGCTTTTAACACCAGTTGCAGGGTTGCAGATTGATTTATTTATTACAGTTCTCCAGACACTGGTCTTTTTAACCATACTTTCCATTCTTTGATTCAACTCGATTGTTTCCAACTATATTACCAATCTAATGTCCAAGACCCGCTTTATTATTTCAACTCCTTTATGTTTAAATTCGAACTCATTGTATTGATGTGAAGTCAAACAACTTGGGTCAAAGGGAATTTTTCGCCTGACCGTACGTTGCATATGACTGACCAATTATTTACTTACTTACTTACGCCTGTTACTCTCAATAGAGCATAGGCCACCGACCAGTATTCTCCAACCCACTCTGTCCTGGGCCTTCTTTTCTAGTTCCATCCAATTCTTGTTCATTCTTTTTATGTCTATCTCCATTTCCCGGCGTAAAATGTCCTCTTGTTTTCCTCTTCTTCTTTTGCCTTGAGGATTTCATGTGAGGGCTTGACTTGTGACGCAGTTGGGTGCTTTCCTCAATATGTGTCCTATCCAATTCCAGCGCTTCTTCCTGATTTCTTCCTCTGCTGAGATCTGGTTTGTTCTCTCCCATAGTAGGTTGTTGTTAATAGTATCCGGTCAACGAATCCGAAGTATTTTGCGAAGACAACTGTTAATAAACACCTGTATTTTCTGGATGATTGCTTTCGTAGTTCTCCAGGTTTCCGCCCCATACAGTAAAACTGTCTTTACATTTGTATTGAAAATCCTGACCTTGGTGTTGGTTGACAGTTGCTTTGAGTTCCAGACGTTTCTCAGTTGTCAATATGCTGCTCTTGCTTTTCCGATCCGCGCCTTCACATCTGCATCAAATCCACAGTGTTCATCAATGATACCGCCCAGATATATAAAGGTTTTTACATCTTCCAAATCTTCTCCGTCAATTGTGATTGGATTGGTGCATGCTGTGTTGTATCGGAGAATCTTGCTTTTCCCTTTGTATATATTGAGACCTACTGCTGCTGAGGCTGCTGCTACACTTGTCGTCTTCTCCTGCATTTGCTGTTGCGTTTGCGATAGAAGAGCCAGATAATCTACGAAGTCTAGATCGTCCAACTGCATCCTAGATGTCCACTGTATCCCGTGCTTCCCTTCAGATGTTGACATCATGATCTAGTCGATCACTAGGAGAAAGAGAAAGAGTGAGATTAAGCAACCTTGCCTGATATCGGTCTTTACATGAAAGAGTTTGCGAGCTGTTCTCCATGCACGATTTTGCAGTTTAACCCATTATAGGAATCACATTCAAAAGATTGTGTAATTATTAGATTGTGGAGGGACCTCGAAGATGAACTGGTTGGGATGAGAACTTAATGACGGTAAATTTAAAGCTTCGCAGATGGTTCGAGATCTTATGAAATAACTCGTCAAAAATATGCTATCAGCAACAAATTATGGTTGAGAGAAAATTTAAACTCAATCACGGAAAGGCACAGTAGGTACCTTATTAATTAATATGCTAATAATATATTTGTTAATTTACATTAAAAGCTTACATTCTCTCCTGTGGTGTAACACCATCATACGTAGAAAGTGTTAATTTACGTCGATCAAACATTCGTACAAATGGTTCATTCCCACCGATAGCAACCAATTCAGACTTTAATGGATTTACTGCAATACACTTAGCTTCGGCAAAAACGTTATCTTGAAATCGTAAATTGACTAATACATTACATGGTTTATTTACAGAAGTCTTGTAAAAGATAAAAACATGAAAGATTATTTTAAATATGATATTTCACAGATAGGTTATACTTTTAGATAAATCAACTTCTTTCTTATTTAAATTAGTAATAGCACGAGTACCACATGGACAATCTAAAAACGAATTTCAACCATTTAGTCAAGTTAGAACACCAATTTACTTTAATCCTCATGAACATCTAAGTAGTATCATCTGTCTTTTACACAGCAGGTGTAGTTTCATTTCCTTTCTATAAAACTGTACTTCATTAAATACCAAAGCAAATACAGGTACAAGTACAGTTTTATATGCTAGGCTCATGGCTACACTGATGCTTCATCGAAAGTAACTGATAAAAGGAACGATATTTCATATACCTATGAGATTGTACGCACATGTTTTATGAAACAGTGCTATAATGTAGATATCATTACCAAGGTTTGACTTGATTCACCATTGTACTATTTAAACTTGGATTAATTTTGATTTGGTTATTTACTCTCTGAAGAAGTGGCTTACACTAAGTCTTGAAACGTCAGAAAATCTAATTTTTCTACTCATCGGGATATTACAAATATATTATTTATTTAGTGCTATAATGTGTTCTCATCAATGTTACTTCATTAAAAATTAGGTGTGATATTTCAAGTAACCAAATGTTCATAACTTGTTTAGATTGGACAATAAATGGTAGAGAATCGATATTCAGTTGGTTACTTGTATACCCGATTTTCACATCAATACAAAATCAGAGGAACAAAACTGAATTAATAAACTTGATGGTATCAAAATATCGTGAAAACCCAGAACAGAACCGAAGAAAGTTAAAATAATGGACAAGACAGTTTAGAATCAATAAAAACATGATTCTATGTGACGATCAGTTGCTTAGAATACTCGCATTCTCTACCTAGCTCCTATATCATTTGTAAATGCATCTTGCATTTTGTTGTAAGATACAGTTTACTCACCTTTATGTGCAGATATATAAGGCGATTAACTAATTTGCTTTTCTAATCTAAAATCATGCACTTACGCTCAATATTGTCAACTTGACTTTCATAACATAAGTTAAAGAATTTTTATATCAGCGGTATATCGAAACATACAGATCTTTGCACAAAATCGTCGACTGTTGATAAAAACTGGAACATCTCTGTTTGATAAGTAAATCTATTTACTTATCCATGTATCTCTTAAGTGTAAAGGAAAATTTTTATTGAAAATATGGTTATTTTTCATTCTTACTGTGACGTTTGAATATATAGATTACATCGATTAAGCATAAGCTAATTGAATTTGCATTCAAATTTTTTTTAATTTTATATCTTTTTAAAATCAATTTTAAGAAACAAAAATCATACCTGATCAGGATCTCGTAGGTCAAACTGTCTACAGGTCCCATCTTCTGAGGCTGACCAAAATAAGAATGGTTCAGATGGAGTATTCGCTAATCGTTTAACGCGACCTGAATGACAAGAAAATACATGCCGAGTTTCTAGTGCTTTAACGTCATGTACACGAATTTTGTTATCAGCTGCACCCGTTACAATCAGATTCTCCTAGAAAAACAGGATGATTACGAGTTTTCAATAACAACAAAAACGATAGTACTCACATTTAGACTAGATAAGAACTTAACAGAAAATATATTCGCCATATGACCAGTGTTCATTGTTAAAAGAGATTTACGTTCAAATGGATCCCAGATAATTAGACGCCGATCATCTGAACCACTAGCAAGATAGGAACCACGCTCGTTCCATTCTAAGCAGTTAACACAACCATGATGACCCTAAAAAATTATAAAGTAAAAATTGACACTTACCTGAAGGCTAGTTTCTAAACCTAGTCTATTGACTAGGTGTTGATTGATTTGTTGACATCTGACATAATTAACTGGACTTAAGACCTAAACAATAATGGAGAAAGTGCAGATTACGTAGTTGAAGAGAAAAACTGGGAACTTCGAATTTAGGTAACTAGTATAAAACCCATACAATAATTTATTTTAATTTTCAGTCTCACGCAGATTCGAGATTTGAGTAACACCAACTGTTTGGTGGTTAAAAAATATTTATTTAAAGTGAGTTTGAATCCATGGGTTTATGGAACTGTCTGAGCAGCTCAGTTAATAAAGTGTAAGATGGCTAGTTTAAGACAGATAAATATGATAACTTGTACAATACTTCGCGATTAAACTAATGACTTACTGAATAATAACCGACATAATTTGACTAATCAATCGTAGAGGTCATCCACATGTAAGGTATCCGACATTTTGCTAATGAGTCCTAACATGATTGAAGTTTAATTTTAGGACATTGTGTTCATGGACTCCAACCGCAAAATATATTGCCCTTTGATCTAATGGTCCGAAATTAAGGAAAATCGGGGCAATTTACATAAGTGATAAGCTTTAAGTTTTATTTTGTTTAAATCGTATGTTTATACTCAGAATGAATAAACAACCAAAGAAAAACTTTATGAAACCATCAAGTTCATTGAAATGTTTTATAAACACATTTTTTTCTTGTGTTATCTGTGTCAACATAATAACACAACCATTGTTGCTATCTTGACGTGGTGGTCGAGCTTGCCTATCGTAATAAACCAGTCGAGCCATACTGACTAAAACAATCGTTTCTCACGAAAATTGCCCACAAAAAGATCGTGTGTGACTGACCCCAAGCAGTTGTCCCTCGGGCACTGTGGTCACACTCTCAGTTCACTAAGACCACCTCTAACCTAATTTCCCTTTCAGGTATCTCCAGAAGAGCCCTTCCACGGTGTGGGCAACCGGGAAGTGATAACTACCCTCATACTTCTAACAGTACTCAAGATCACTGTATTCATGATCAATCTCTCGCTTCAATTCCTATTATTATTATTATTATTTGAACACATAAATATTGGTACAAGAGAGCGCCAATATATATGCACCACACAAAACAATGAGAATTCGAAGAGAAATAGGAAAAAAAAGCTAAGGAGCGCAAAAAAAAAAGAACAATAGCGAAAATATTGGTGTAAGGTAGTGTGGTAGTAATGAGGGAACGGAAAGGTGCAATCGGAAAAAATCTTTCAGTTAAGGAAGATACAACCACTTTTTACGAAGTAAAAGAAGGTTACAGCAGGATCACTGGCTTCTGTTCTGAGCCATATCTGATAACGTCTCTAGCCACTGTGTAGCACTATCTCTCAGACCCCAACTAGGGAGTCGTGAAGGATTAACAGAAGCCAGCCCTTTACAGCTTTCTTTCATACCACAACACCATGTCATACACTGACCACCTCTTCGCTTTTTCCAACCAGTTCCAGAGTCGGCAAATAATGCACGATGTGGAATTCTCTGGGACGACATTCGTAGAACATGTCCAAACCACCGAAGTCGATGTTTCAAGATGGTGATACGAATTGAATTATCGTCTCTGTCCGAACACACGATGCCGAACCTCTGCGCTATTAAAATGATGTTGCCGGCGGATGTCAGCAGTCCTTCGGAGACGATCATCAAAAATAGAGAGTCGTCTAACATTCTCAACTCGGAGAGGCCGGGTTTCACAAGCATAGAGCAGAACTGCTCTCACCGACGCGTTGTAGATCCGACCTTTTACAACCAGACTGACATCACGAAGGCGCCAAAGATGGCCCAGATTTGCATAAGCTTCTCTGGCTTTCGCTATACGTGCATTGATCTCACTACTCACGCCACTACCAGCACTTATGCAGCTACCCAAATACACAAACTTCTTGACTACTTCTATCTGCTCACTACCCAGGGTGAGTACAGGACCAGGGTCCTGCCAGTCTTGTAAAAGTACTTTTCACTTAGAAGGTGCAAATCACATACCATACTTACGGACACTGATTGCCAACTGATTAAGTGTGGATTGCATGGCTTGAGCATTATCGCACAGTAAGACAATATCATCCGCATACTCAAGGTCGAGTAGTCTTTCTCCAGGCAACAGATCCACACAGCCACTACTTAAATCCATCAGAGCTGTTTCCAGAATGTTATCGATGGCAAAGTTGAAGAGGAATGGTGAGATTGGGCAACCCTGCCTAACCCCACTGCTTGAGTGGGACAATGGAGAAAGGTTATTGTATGCCCTCACTCTGCCTGAAGTGTTTGTGCATAGGGCTTTTAGGATGTTAATAAACTTCTCAGGCACACCCTTCTTCAATAGACAATCGCAGAGAACAGTCCTATCTAACGAATCGAAGGCAGCCCTGATGTCAAGAAACACTATGATTGTTGGCCTGTGATAAGTATGGCGGTGTTCTAACATTTGGCGGAGGGTGAAGATATGATCATTCCATCCTTGATCAGAACAAAACCCAGTTTGCTCCTCGCGAGTCAATCTTTCTCGGGTCTTGAACAACCTACGAAATATGACGGAAGCCAATAAGCTTTGACGCAATCGGAAGTAGACTTATCCTTCGATAGTTGTTAGAGGAACGACGTGAACCCTTTTTAAAGATAGGGACAACTATCGACTCATTCCACGACGTTGGTACACTCTCTAGTTCCCAAACCTTTGTAAACAACGTCGTCAATTCCTTAGTCAAAAAGTTGCCACCATCTTTAAAAAGAGCCGGAAGTAAGTCATCTGGGCCATGTGATTTGTAACGCTTCAAGAGTTGGAGTTCCTTGCGGACGACCTCCTCGTTTGGTGGATCAGTCGTCACCGGCCATGGAGGGCAGGACTGTCTGACCAATGTTGCCGGAGCAGCAGGCCAGTTGAACTGCCCTTCTAAGAATTCTGCCCATCGTCCAAGATTGGCGCAGACCAAGTCATGGTCAGAGTCCAGATAGGTACTCCAAAAGGAGCGGCAGTCTTTTACACAACCACGCCAGCGGTAGCTGATCGCGATGTGATCAATCTGAGTTCAGGCTTGGGATGCAGAGGGAGGACGCCAGGTGGCACATCGGCGATGACTGTGCCGAAAGTTAGTGCTAGCCAAAAACAGGTTATGGTCCATGCAAAGTTGCAGTAGACGGTCTCTGTTATCTGACCTGCGACCAGCGAGTCCTCATTGGCCACCTAAACGACTCTTTTCTGTGCCTAGACGCCCGACCTGAGCATTCAAGTCTTCGGCTAATACTACAATATCTGTCGAACGCACTTTCTGGAGAAGAACAGATAACTGGTGGTAAAACTCATTGTTGATTGCATCCGGGCTGCAATCTGTTGGACCATAGGCGGAGATGACGAAAAGACATCGTTTCTCACGCCGATTTCTTCTCACTTTGACGGTCATTTCTAATCCAACAGCACATAACCGACTGTTAATGGGGATCCAATCGATTGGTGCTGCTTCAGCTCTAGCGCTTAGTGCGATACCAACGCCAGCAAGACCAGACGAAGATGCCACAGGGTCCCCGGATACATGCACGTTAAATAAGCTTTTTGAAGCGACAGATGGAGAGCGAATTTGTAGTACTTCACCAGAGTCTTGAATACAGGTCTCCGATAGACAGCAGACATCGATATAAGGACTTTCCAAAGACATAGCCAGCCCTATTTGTTGACCAACCTGCATAAGAGTGCGAACGTTGAAGGCAGCCAGTTTGAATGGCGCACGTGGTTTCAGAAAAACTGCTTCAGTACTCATCTTCGGTAGTAACATACAATTTTCAACCGGACAGTGACTCGAGAACGTTTAGATACAGTCGAATTTCCACCAAAGATGAGCCGCTGTATAAGTATGAAAGAGGGTGAATAATGTGGATAATAATAATTTGAATCAATTGATTGTTTTTCGAAGCGAGAAAAGTAGTTTCCATAGACATAGAGAGTTCGTCATTAGTGTATGGGCTGTGATACTGCCCGGGTGCCTAAACCGAACATATGGAACTCAAAACAACTTTCAACCAATATCAAAGTGAGAATCTTCAATACCAACGTCAAGGCAGTTCTACTGTATGGAGCTGAAACTTGGAGAACTACAACAACAACCATCAAGAAGGTACAAGTATTTATAAATAGTTGTCTACGCAAGATACTCAACATCCATTGGCCGGATACCATCAGCAATAGCCTTCTGTGGGAGAGAACAAACCAACTTCCAGCTGAAGAAGAAATTAGGAAAAGACGATGGAAATGGATAGGACATACATTACGCAAATCGTCAAACTGCATCGCGAGGCAAGCGCTAACTTGGAATCCTGAAGGGAAGCGAACAAGAGGAAGGCCAAAGAACACATTGCGTCGGATAATAGAAGCAGATATGAAAACGATGAATAACAACTGGACGCAGCTAGAAAGGATTGCCCAGGACAGGGTTGGATGGAGAATGCTGGTGAGCGGCCTATGCTCCTTCACGAGGAGTAACAGGCGTAAGTAAGTAAGTAAGTAATCACTGATTGTCCCAATATATAAGAAAGGATCAAAATCATTCTGTGATAATCATGGAGCGATTAATTCGACTAATATATCATCGAAAGTACTAGTCTCAATAATTATCGGATGCTTAACAAAGACTGATGAACTACAAACACGAGAAAATAAGGCTGGCTTCAGACCTGGTCGTGGCTGCGTCGACCACATATTCACTATTCGTTAGGTTTTAGAACAGACATGCTTATCGGCATCCGACAATGATGGTCTTCCTTGACTTAAAAGCAGCATTTGACTCTGTTGACCGAGAGGTTCTGTGGCAATGTCTGTAATTGAAAGGCGCACCTCAGAAGTACATAAACCTTGTGAAGGCTCTTTACTCGAACACTACCAGTCGAGTGAGAGCTTATGACGAACTGTCATCTGATTTTGCAATCTCAAGTGGTATCCATCAAGACTGTCCACTATCTCCATTTTTGTCCAACTTCATCATAGACCTACTGATGGAAATAATGTTCTCGTCGACTGAATTCTCGGGCATTGATCTCCTTTTAAGAGGTCCACT